TAACCATATATAGGAGAAGGAGCGACATTAAGAAAGAAAAAAAAAAAAAGAGAGGGAGGAAGCTTTCAGAAGACAGGTAAAATAGCCAAGAAACGCACCTAAAATTTGTACTAAGATCCGCTCTAACAGAAAACAGTATGATTTTTCTACGATTTAGTTTAAATCTTGAATTATAGGAGAGAAGTAGAGCAATTGACTAAAGAAAGAAGAAGCGACAATTTTATAATGGTGTTTACATAGAAACATATATGAAAAATACCTATGCAATTTTTCATTACATTTATTTTGAAAATCTAGAAAATTTTTACTGCGAAAAAATCGTAATTTTGCGTCATAATCTTAAATTCTCAACTTTCATCTTTTGGCTCGACAATATTACGTGAAGTTTTGTAGTTCAATATAACAGTACTTATTTGGCTCTTTCAAAGTAATCCCCATCAGACTTAATACAATTATGTCATATTTTTCTTTTGTGATGGCCTTCAGTTCTTTCAGCGAATTTTGGTTTATGTCTGCCATCGCCTTGAAACGGGTTTCTCGTAGCGGCAATTTCAAGTTGGGGAACAAGAAAAAATCATATTTATCATTGCGTTTCTGGCTTTAAATTCCATCACAATCGCGCCTCGAGGTTATGGTGTATTATTAATGTGTAAAATTCATGAATCGTTCTTCCTCAATGCTGGCCGTTTTCGACGGTTGTTCTTGCGCAAACACCTCAATGTGGCTAAATAGAATTCCTTATTGACCGTCGGTTTCTTTGGTTTTCTATTTTTCATTCCGATGATTGTTGCCTGGTTTGCATGTTAGACTAATAAACACACGTCTCAACGACAGTGCTTCTCATGTATGTGGGATCGGGATTCGCACGATCAAGCTTGTTTAAAGCAACCTGTTTGCGGTACTCTTTTCGAAATGAATACGTTTCATACCCAAAAAACGTGTGAACGGACTCGCGAGAGATATCGAGCTCTTTTGCCATCTCCTTAACACTTGCCTGACAATTTTCAAGCACCATATCTTTGACTTTTTCAATATTTTCATCAGTTGAAAAGGTCGAAACTGAATCACCGTAAGCTATTTTGACATTCGCACACGAAATTGTATTAGAAATATAAAATTTGAGGTAAATTCTTTGTTCGATATTTTTATCCATTGTAGTAATTTAGCAAGATATATTCATTTGACACATTGTTTTCTCGGGGAATTCGTATTATAATTTCCAGGAACTCTTTTGTCACAATGTATGTAAGAGAGCCTGAAATCAATGTACATATATAAATGGGAGGTTTACGCCTTCAGAGGTTTATATCTTCATTGAAGAGCTTCAAAATGAGCCTTTTAAAGATTTTCGTTCCGATTCTTCATGCCAGAAACCTAACAAATAAATTAAATTCGATTTTCCACTTTTTGTCGTCTTTTTTGCACAATTTGAACTCTATGCCTCTAAGGCCGATCTTCGCAACATAAACAATACAAATACAAATTTTACAATACAATATTTGACAGTTGTTTGTTAGCAGCTGACAACTGACAGCAACACAATTGCATTTAGCGCTTAAATACTGAGAGTTACTCATATTTTTTGTGGTTTTCAATAATTTTTTATAAATAATTCTATATTTCTTGAAACAAAATTTTGTGCTGTATAGTTTTAAAGAAGTTCAAAATTAAATTTCACATATTCATACTAGACTACATGTAACTTGTTAGCCAACTAATGGCCTAAACACTAACTGCATACAATTTATCAGATGGCCTTTATTCAATTAATTAAGAAATGCGCCAGTTAATGGATATCAAATTGACTTAAAAATTGTGTGAAAGAGGAGACCCATAAATTGATATCCATATACGGCTGTATATGCCGCCTGCGTACAAGAGCTTGGTTACTAAGGACACTGGCACAGGACATACACAGCGAGTGCCAATGTTCGAAATTACACAAAAAAGGGTGAAAATCATAGAAAGTCATAACACGGTTAGTTTTCGAAGCGGAAATGCAAGCGTGTTTGTAAGTGTAATATGAATAATGTTGCACCAGGAGGGCATATAATAATTTTATATACGGGAATACGGTACTTTATGTGCATTAACTATAGCGAGGCATTGCCCTGCAAAACGTATGGAGCACTGAGCTGCGAGGGACTTTATGGTTTCGTACGCGCATAGTTCATAGTTGCAGCTGAAAGCTTCTTGGCAGCGCAAAACTTTACAATCATATTTCATAATTAACTTAAATTGAAAATGGCGAAAAATTCCAAACTCGCAAAGAATGGAAAGTAATGACGTTCAGGCTATGAAACGAGTTGGCGGAGGCGATGTGACAAATGCACCGAGCGGCAAGTTGCAACGAGTAGCAAATAGCGTCGGGGTTGACTGTGCAACGGCCGGGGGTTTTAAATATAATATTTTTCCGTTACCATTTTGCTTTGAACGTGTTTTTTTAGGATAATTTAATGCAATGCATAAAAAAGTTTTTTCTCTTTTCTTAATTATTTGAGAAGCGCGACTCCGCCAAATTAACGCAAGCGTATATATATTCCTTCTCGTTTGGTGTATGTGACAGCTCTGAGGCCCCAAATTATGAACTTTATTAACTACCGTATGGTTGTGCACTCAAAGGCAAGGACTGACATATTAATGATGTCATAAAATTTCATGATTCCTTCATTTAATAGTAATAATGGCGGGAGTAAATGACGACTTTGAAGACGCTTCCGTTGTACGAATGTATTTTGCTACAGAGTACAATAGTTTGTACACCTAACGGTTGTAGTTATTGGGTTATATATATTAGGGTGATTAAAAAATTTTTTTTTTTTTTTTTGGTTTGGTACTCTGAAAAAGAGGTTCCTAGACACCTCTAAGGATGCCTCTCCAAGAATGAGTTCTTAATTGTAACGGGAAGGTCCTCCCACTTACAGTATTCTATTTTTTCTTATTATCAGATAGAAAAAGTTATATCTCGCTTCCAACCACTTCAAAAAATATTTTGTTCCTTAGATTTTGTAGGAAATTGAATGCTCTACAAAAAGGATTTTTTCGTAAACTTAACCGTTTAAAAGATATTAACAGTTGAAGTTTGATTATTTTTGGGAAAATTTTTTATTTCTTATGAATTTTATCACTCAATGAAAAAAAATCATTATCAATGAAACTCATAGGTTTTTGGAGAGGTTTTCTTGAGGTGTCTAGGAACCTATTTTTCAGAGTACCAAACGAAAAAAAAATTTTTTTTTTGAATCACCTTAATATATATACAGGTTTTGTCCGGAAAGTAATAAGTCTGATTCGTTTTAAAAAAATTTATTGATCCAATCGTTACAATTATTTAAAAACTTTTAAAATAGGCTGATTCGCGCAATTTCCAAGCATTGAAGGTGTTATGGAAGGCATTCTCTGGAATAGCCTTGAGAGCAGAGGTGCATGCTGCTTGCATCCCCTCTGCTGTCTGAAAAGAAAAGGAACATTGCCTCTTTGTCCTCGGCTCATACTCAAAAATCCATGACTCGTCACCTGTGATTACGTTATTGGGGTTCACTTTCACACATGTTCCAATTGGTACAGTTCCACTCGCCGCAATTTCTGTCGTCAATGAGCATTTTCGGAACCATATTCGCGCGCACCTTGCGCATGTTCAAGTGCTCCGTCACAATGTTATGAACCACAGATTTTGATAAATTTAACACCTGACAAAATAGTCGGCGGTCTGAGTTCAAAACTTTACGCATATGAGTTACGTTGTGGGTGTTTGTCGAAGTCGCAGGTCTCCCAGCACGGTCTTCATCAGCGATCTTTTCCCGACTCTCCAAAAATCGGAAGATAACCCAGCTCACTAACCATATAACGATACTGTTAAAAACTACTAAAAGCGCAATAAATCAATAACTAAATATTTCAGAGACATTTAATTTTACCTCCGAGATGGATTGAGAAGGCTTTGGTGAAGTCGTATATCACGGGGCTCGACTGATTTCAACTAAATTTAGTGCGTGACATTCTTCTCATGTTCCTATTTCAGAGGAATAAAATGAGCGAAATCGGACGACAAACACGCCTACTTCCCATAAAGAACAATTTTAAATTTCATTTGACCAAAAATTATCAAAAATTTAGTTACCGAATATTGTCAAAGTCGGAGACTAACATTACTCGAAACCCGCTGAACCGATTAGTCTCAAATTTTAAGATGAGTATCTTAAACATATTTTGTAGTAATTAGTCGAAACTTGTGTCATGCCGATAAATATTTTTTATTAACAATTTAAAGCCGAAATTTTGGTCAAAAATAAGTTTTTTTAGAAACCGCCATTTTGTCAAAAAGTTATTTTATTTTGCTTGTTCCTTTGATTTGCTTTACAATAATTAATTTCAGAGGATCTAGTTCAAAGATATAGTGGTTTTTGGAAAAATCGTCTTTTTTAATAATGAAATCTTGCAAATCTTATTTTGAGACACCCTTTATGTATTTCATAATTTCATTTCACATAAAACGAAACCAAAAATATTATTTATATAATTTTTCTTTTTTTTTTTTATATGAAAATATTAATTTTTAATTAGTTAATTACTTCTTATTTGTAGTTAAATATCCTGTTAATACTCATACCAAAAATAACGGTGAAATAATGACAAACGTACGGTACTTAAATATAATCGCCGCATATAATAGCGCTCAATTGCTCTCTGCCGCGCCGCGACTTTATTTTTGCATTGTAAATTTATTATTTAATTAAGAACACAGAGTTTCGAGCGCACAATCAGATGTTTTTGTGAAAATTCGCTTTTTCTATGGGAACTGTGGCAACATGTAGTGAGAGAGTATATTAAATAAAATGAAATAATTAAAAAATTGTCAATGGGAAAGTACTAATTAAATAATAATAATTCGAGAAAATATTGCTTAATCATGATAAAAGAAATATATAAATATATTTTGTTTTCAATCTATTTGTTTTCATTCGCATTTAAATCAAAAATTCATACATTACATAACGCACCTCGTTCTCATCGCGCAATATGCCAACCACCTGCAGGAACATACGCTCGGCGTCATTCTTCGGATCATAATTTGAGTATGTGTCATCGACGAGCGTTATATTGCCGATCGTATAGAGTGACTCCTCGGCAAACGAAGCATCCAAATCGTCCACAGTCACGGCGAAATTGTGCGCCTCATCAACGTCAACGTCGGCGTCAACAACAGCACCGACCATTTGTTTCTCCGCCAACACTTGAGACGGCGCAGCGTCAACGCACAGCGCTTTCGTTTCAACAATATTTATGCTTTCGCCGGCAGACGCGCCGCTTCGACTACCAGGGGGCGATTGCAACGGCGTTGACACAGCGCGTTGCACAGCAACCTCAACTCGCGGCGCGTCGCTGCTGCTGTCATCGTCCACTTCGCCGTCACCGTCAGCGCCGCTGCTCAGCTGCGAGAAACTTAGACTCAGCTGACTACTCGCCGCCGCAGAAGCGCGACTGCAGTCTTGCAACTCCATCTCGAGTTCTGTGCCGCCCGTGCCGCTGTCGCCACTCTGCGAACTCGCCGAGTGCAAGTGTTGCGCGCGCTTAGCCACATGTTGCTGCAACATGCTCTGCGCTGTGCTGAATTGCTCGACGCGCACCTCTTGCGTTGGCTCGCGCTGCAGCGCCAGCATAGCGGCTACGGCGACGTCGCGTGAGTCACAACGACTGCTGCCGCCACCGCTACTGCTGCTGCTACGACTGCGACGCTTCAACGATTTGAATGGTGAGAGAAAACGGCGGCGTGGTGAGACATTCAGATTCGGTGTGAGCGCTGCGCCTTGTTCCAGCGCCAGCAATGTGGCATGCGGCGGCTTGGTATAACGTTCGAGCGACCTTGATTTTGCAAACAAGCCGGTGCTGGTATTGTTGTCTTCATGCTGCTCATTAGTGTTGTGATTGTAATTGTTGTCCTGCCCAACAATGGCAGTGGCGTTTTGCAAATGTTGCGCGTGTTTTGTTTTATTCTGTTTGCGTCGACGACTGCTGTTGCTCGCCGTTGTTGTTGTTGCGCCGCTTTTGTTGTTGGCCGCAATGCTTTTGGCCATTTTCAGTTGTTGCACATCCACGATATGCATGGCGCTGATGTTGTGATACGGGTGCTGTTGTGTCTGCGGCTCTTGCTGTTCCGCTGGACCCGCCATAATGATGTCACGCGCCAGCTGCGCTCCAGCCCCAGCCGCATTGTCTGCCGTTTGTGGCACTTTTAATAGGCGCATAGTATTGTTGTGTGTGTGTGTGTGTTGTTTGCCTTTGGCCTAAACTGCCGTCGCACTTTAATTTTATTTATTTTTTACGCCGAACGCTTTGCTATTTGCTATTTTTCACTCAAAAGTTTTTCTTGTTCTCGTGCTGCGGCTTTGTTTAATTTTTAATGAGCTCAGAGGAGCCGCAGGCTGCGCCCGCTCTCTAATTATTGTGCTGTGCGCGCACTCTGTGGTGCAGGCGATTATGTCGCTCCGCACTTTTTTGTTCGACTTTGCTTTACACTGTTCTACTTCTAAGTCTTTAGTTGTTGTTTTGTTTTAATAGAATTTTGCACTTGTTTGAGTTTAAACTTCCCTTGCAGTTCTATTTTAGCACGCTGAATTTTTTCTCTATAATTTGTGGCACAATTTAATTACATGTTCTAAGGCTACAGGTTTTAATGAAATACTTTTACTGGCATGCCCTCATATCACGCTGCAGTCAGGTTATGACATACATACACATTTTCAAGTTCGTTATTTATTATAGTTTTAAGAGTAAATATTTAAATTTGATAACACAACTTTTATGGATAATCTATTTTTACACTATATAAGGTGTATCTGTGTAAAACAATGTAGTTAAAAATAAAAAAAATTATAATTAGTTAACAAAAAAAATCGTTGAACCATATATTAGAGAGGCCTCAACCAAAAACCACCCTGTGAGTGGTTGATCCTCGTAGCGTTGGACTTGTCAAAAGCTTTTAATACAGCTAATCAAACAACGCTACTTGACGATATCGAAAAAGTTACCCTCCCTCCAGGGTTGAAGAGAAGGAATTATGAACTACCTGAGCGATCGACAATCATTCAACAATAACTAAACAGCGGGTTCCTCTGGGTAGTGTCCTCTCCCCGCTGCTGTTTAACTCTCCGACCTCTTATCTCTCCGACCTTTTTCGCTTCATCGCTGCACGAAATCTAACAGTCTCCCCACTGAATCCACACCATATTCACAAACTGGACGAATGAGTACAGATTTGACCTTAATATTGCCGTCGATAGCGTCAAGATTCCGACTGTCAACAACCTTAAGATTTTAGGTGTGATATTCGACAGCCTGTGCTGCTTCATTCGGCATAAGACCGCGATTTTTGCCAAAGTACAGAGTTCTCAAGTCGGTGGCAGGTGGTACATAGGGCAAAGATAAAAAAAACGTGGTTGGCAACATACAAGGTAGTCGGCCGGTCCTTAACTAAGCCACACCAATTCGGTCTTTTGACATGCACTGACTCTTATTCACAGTGAAGCCATAAACATCTTATGTCAAATCTTATGTAATCAAATGTCGACTAAGTGAACCAATTTTGAAGAAAATTTGCGGTTATATGATAACAACAGTCTTGATTCGGCAAACGTTGGAGTGAGAAGCGAATCGAACAAAGTGTACTGGTTGTTCAAAACCACTGGCAGTACTTTGTTGGAGAAACTCGCTCTTCCTATTCAAAAGTTTAAGTAACTGTAACTAGTTTTATCAACAATTATAGTCCGTTTTGTCGTCAGTTAAAAAAAAAGTCATTGCATACTAATTTTTGAGAAGAATTTCTCATTTGATCTATTCGCAATGGCAAAACTAGCCTAAAATATGCAAGACGAAAATTGGAAGCATCGAAGTTAGCGGTCCTACCATTTAAATGAGGAATCCTCATACTCTTTCGTACAAATTTAACTCGATAACTTTGTTGTTGCTTTTAAATGTCATTTTGTGCCAAGAGAGCAGTGCGCAAGTATAATGAGTAAAGAAATAGTGAATCGAAGACTGTGTGTGATTAAGCTTTGAGCTTTAACAGCTTTTTCGAATCATAAAATATAAATAAAATATATCACATATTAAAAGAAAGTACGCAGAAGCTTAGAACTTAGAAACGACCACTGAATACTTTGTAGTATACTTTGATTAAACTTTGCACAGTTAGAAATTAAAAAGTTTTTACACAGTTTACTTTTTTTCGACTTGTACGAATACATTTTAATTTCTACCTATAGGGCTGATGAGTTTTATAAGAAAATATACACACGACCTTTGAATTCTGTCACAGAGGCGAGGGCACGAACCCTGACACCAAGAAGTAATAGTGCGCGTTAGTGCCTTCTTATTAAGATATGGCGGTCATCCATCATTTGGATTGTATATAAAACAGTAAGTTTCCAAAAAATAGCTCACAATTATTTTATTGAATTTGGAAAATATGTTTAAAACATTGCGAACAAGTTTAACAAAATGCAGTAAATATTTACCGAACCTTGCTTAAACTCATGAAAGTCACGCCCCACCTCATTGAGCATTGTTAGCACTTATGTAATAAAGTAGTTTTGTGGAGCGCTTCTTAAAGTCTTAAACATCTAAAACAAAAAAATAACGATACATTCTGTCACACCTTCATAGCAACAACAAAAATTCAATATAATTGGCAACATGTCAAATATGCACTGCTTCTTCTTCCATAAAAGTGAAAACTAGTGTGACACTTTAGAACGACGACACTCAAAAGCTGAGCAGCCGCCACAAACATCGTTCATTGCCTCTAATTTTCTGCATTTGTGGGAGTCTGCGCTGCCGTTGGCCTTATTTTTGAGTTCAGCGTTGAGCATTCACTCGTGTACCCGAGCACCCGTTTGTTGGTGTTCTTTAAATTTTCGGCACGTGCGAAATGCAATTGCGGGCTTCACCCCGCCGCAGCTGCGATTTCGGTGACAGTGGATTTGAAAACGCAAAGCGAAAAATGAAATTAATGCAGCAGCAAAAACGAAGCAGACTTTTCAAAACTAAATAATTGCCATTCAAGCGCGTACTCCACATATTAAGTTGTGAGTGTGTGTGTGTTCGCTTTACTCGTGTGTTTGGCCGGTTGACGAATGCGCCCGCTGTTAGATGTTACACACACATGCACATATATACAAATTTGCATAATTGCCTATGTATGTTAATCGAAATCTGAGTGTGTGTGTGTGTGAGTGCCATTTTCGCATAAATTAAGACAACTGTATATCACTGCCAGCTGCAGAAATTAATATTCAGCATTGGTTATTTCCAGTGATTTGCGGTAATAAATTTTGTGAAAGTCGCCGCCACTTCGCGCTCACTCCTCCAGCGCACACTCAGCTGCACCACACATGTGTGCGAATGTGACAACGTCAAATCTTAAATTTGTGTATTGATTTTCGCAAAAATTTTGATTGGGAATTTTTTATGCATTCTCACGAGAAAGGCAAATGTTGTTATTTTTAGCCTTCAGAAGTGATAAAAAGCTTTTATTTATAACACAAAAATATTTGTGATATTAATGCTATGTATGTATATTAATAGGTGAGGCAATGTAAACTATCTTTGCACACTACATGTTGATAAGATTAATATTAAAATGTTCGAATAAAGTTTTTATTAAACAAGTAAGGAAGAGCTAAGTTCGGGTGTCACCGAACATTTTATACTCTCGCATGATAAAGTGATAATCGAGATTTCAGGCGTGGTTGTGAACCGTTTTCACCCATATTTGGT